TAATTTTTGTACTTTTGAAGGCATGAACATTATCTGACATAATTTGGCGAGGGATATTAAATTTATATATGACATGGTTCTTAAAGAACTAGAGTACAAGGTATGCTTTAACTTCCCTTAAAGGTACAAATTTTTCTCATTTAGACAAATAGTTTGTTGTAGCTAATATAAACTTATGTTCTTTGGATAATGAAGGATCAATAGTTCCAATTGTATTCATGCCCACAACATTCAAAGGGTCAATAGGATATTGTTCGGTGTAGTATATTAGGGGTTTGATTGAGGACTACTCCATGTAGTTGACATTGGTGGCAAAGTCTAGCGGTCTCCATATAGTCATTGATCATCTTTTACCAATATTATCACATTCTTCTGATATTTTTTTTTTTCATTTTAGGGTCATACTATTAGGCACCACATATTCCAGACTCCTTTAATAATTATTTGGGCTTCTTGCTTTTTTTGGCATCGTAACAACATATTATCAAAGGATCTTCAATCGATTGCACCATTTAGAAGGTAAGAGATAATTCTGTCAACTTTATTTGGTGATCAAGATTTATCTTTGAGAATCTTGCTTTCATGCAGGTAGCCTATGAAAGGTTGTCTCCAATATGAGGCTTCCTCTTCATGTGTTGTTGTAGTAAAATATTCTTCGGGCTTTAATTTATTTAAGTTTTCCATATCAATTGGGGAGAGGACCTGACAAACTTGAACTTTAATTAAAAGAGACTTTTCTTTTAGACAAATTCTTTCTTTAACCAAACTTGCCAAAGCATCTATGATGGTTATACTGTCACAGGGTATTTGGTACAAGGTGACATATGGTGTCTACTCAAGCAAATTCATAAAATATTGATTTATAATACTATTGAAGCTTGGGCTTTAAGATCTGATAATTCACAGTACTTTTGGATGGATTGAACTGAGGAATTAATGGGTTGATGTAAGGATCAGGCTTACTCCTAGTTCAAGATGAGCAAATCAATGGTGGATCAGAGAGGATTTGGTTTAAGATTAATGGATAATTTGTTAGAAGGATTGGAAAAATTTTGGCAGAGCTTCGCAAAGGGTATGAGAGTGTATGGAGCTCTCAGTTTGGGGGTAATTAATAGGCTTTAGGGGTCTTGGGTTGGCTCAAAATTGGCTAAGGGCACCAATAATTGGTCTCTAGTGATGTGATATGGTCAGCGAAGTTGGCTAATGAGAAATTTCCAAGTGGGAAGTCAATTTTGGTGCGTGGCCGCTAAGGGAGCTCCATGTGTGCCTTAATAATTATGCAGCTTCCACGACAAGCTAGGAATTGGTTGGGTGAGCTTGGGTTAGCCTCCTTAGGTGGCTAAATCATTTTGGGAGGTTATAAGGATGAGACAAATTAGGCCATGTGGGGAGGTAGTTACACCAATAATTTGTAAAGTTGGCTTGGTTCTTGGTTGGTTTGAAAATGGCTTACATATGCTTGGTCATGGCTTGCAAGTGACTCATTTGGGCTTGTCATTTACTCACAAGGGTTCAAAGAAGAATTAGCTTGAGAGTGAGCCAATATGGTTTAGATAATGGCATGAAATGGGTAGTTTTGGCTTGGATCAAATGGATATGTCTTGGATTTGGAGTGTATTCAGCTGGGGTATTGCTAAAGTTGGCAAGTTTAAATAAATTTGATTTTATTTGATTTTAATTTTAGTTGAATTTGTGATTTTGGTGGATTTTATTTAATTTTATTTTAATTTTTAGTTTTATATTATCCTATTTTTATTAAAGGATAAATCTTATCTTAGTTCAAGATGAACCTTAGATCAAATGTATTGTTTATGAACCAAAATATTGGGTTATCCATGGAATTATGAAAGAGAGTGAACTCTGCCCAACAAAAAACCAAGTAGAAGACCTAAGTCTCTAGGGTCGAAGGGTAGCTAGAGTAATTACTAGCATATAAGAACTCAACTTAGGCTTCAATGACTTGACTTCAACCAACTCAACCAAAGGTTAAAATTTAAGGTCAAAACATAAGAAACTATAAGGAGGGAAGAAATGTTTAAAATTCTAGCTTGATATTGGTTCATTACTATTACCCTCAGAAAAGCCACTAAGGAAACCATTAAGACTAAAATCTAAGTTCTAAAGAAAGAAGAAGCAAGTTATAATTCCTGTAAAAATGAGGTCAATGATGCCAATAGTTCATTGAGCCTTGGATGTCAGTGGAGCACCAACTGTTCCTTGCACACCACGCGCACCTATAGCTCCATTTCAATCTGATTGGTCAGCAAGATTTGTGTTGCAATAGAAGGAGGAACTAATAGATCAACAAGTCGATCACTTGATCGCCCTTCTCCATTCCCTTAAAAGTTCTCTCATTGGTGATTACAAAGCGAGTTGGATGTTCCCTTCTTATCAGTGGATCATGCTCTTTTCTCTTCTTAGTCATGACCTTTTTTTTTATTGTTTTTACCTTTTGTAAGGGATCACATCCCCGATTCCCCAAAAATTTTAAGATGTGTTGCATTGTTGTAAATATCAATCCAGGAAGCTGGCTTTTTCTCCAGATGACGTTTGTAGTTGGTCGATACAAACAGGGAAGGAAGTAAAGCAGACACAGAAAGGCGGAGTTCTTTATGCTATATTTATAAAAATAACGGGTAAGAAAATCTAAGGAGTTTAATTGTTGAATCATTAAATATTCATAAATAAGTACTACTTTTTGCATTAAATTAACTTGTTCTTATCGCAACATGAATTTCAAGAAGCAAGATAATTAGAGATTTCAATATGTAGATAGAAAATGCGTCAACATTGATCCCAATGAGATCTGAAATTTCAATAGGAAGAAGGTACATCAAGGGATAACCTACCGACAGAAGACCTGAAGGCCCAATTGTCGAACCAAGTACAACAAGATAAAACATACCAAGTCATAAAGGCAACCAAGTGACTTGAACTTGAGTGGTTCGGCCAGAAATCAGATGAGAGATAATCCAAGCCTGTCAACTTGATGAAATTGATCCAAGCAGCTAATTCTCAGGAGTTGTGGTTATATTGAGGACTCCAGCAGCCCCCCAAATCATCAAGAGTTAATGAGAAAAGGGAGGAGCTAATTCCTCAGGCCTTGTGAACTCTTTATCAAAGCATAACTACCAATCAGATTATGATGATTCACCCTCTTACTGATATCTTAGTCAACTAAATCAGTTCTACCAACCCCAAGCCAATCATGACGAGCCAACCGATTGCAATGACCCATCCTAGCATACCGAACCGACCTCAACAAGATGAGGCTATGCCAGCCTAGCCAGCTGAGTCAGAGAGCAGTTGTCCCTAGGCCCCACTTATGTGAAATACCTAGAATGTCCTGTAATGCCCCCCATAAATTAGGGGTATTAGCTAATTTCACAACATTATATTTTATCCCCTATAAATATGAAAATCATTTCATGAATAAGGCCTTACACACTATCGTTCATTACTGTGCACTGTTCATAACAATGTGAGGAGAGATGTGAAGCATCTCTCTGTTGAAGCTCGTCGGAAGGAGGATGCATGCAGCTGCGGGAGAAGCTTGCCAGCAGATAGCTAGTAGTTTTTGTGTAGTCTGTTGGCTTGGGAGCTTGGTTGTTCGCGTGAGACAAAGAGGAGAGAAGAATGATTGGATGCAAACCGTTGAAGAAGATCGTCAGAAGTTTTATTGGAGACAAAAAGATTGGCAAAAGTGTGAATTTCGTAAAATTAAGCTTTGGTGTGTTAGATATGTAAATAACAATGTTTTCACTGCTATGTATGTAAAAACCCCCTTTAATATATATATATATATATATATATATGTCGAAACAAATAAGGGAGAAAATAAGAGTACTTAAGATGCATTGAGAATTTATCATCCATATAGCCCTCAGATAGTGCGTAAGAATTTCCTGATTGTGGTAATATTTCAAATTAAAAACAATCATCTGAACAATGCACCTTATACATTTCTTAAATTAGGATTAAGCTTTTAATTTTAACTAAGTTTGAGTCGGCATAAACATTATTGATTTATGGTTTATATTCATATTTATAAGAATAAATATATACATTTTTTTAATATTTTGTGTTTCTCATCTGCCAAATGTCCACAGCAAGGAGAGAGAGACTTACTTGCAGCTCTGTCAAACCAACATCTCCCTTCGCTCTATAATGTAGTTTGGACATAGCCTCAATATGTTATCAATTATTTTATAAACATTTAAAATTTATCCCAAAGATATTTTTAATAGCAATATAGACAATTATAATTTTTTTTTTGTGCGCAACAGATTTAAATCCGCGTTAAGAGAAAAGAAATCCTTAATGACTGAAGCCGTAGGATCTCGTGAAAACTCTGGATCATCCGGAGTCCAATAAGGAGGCACGTGTAAAATGGATCCATCACAATACACTGTGATTGGTCACGTTTTGCTCCCCTACCGGAGTCCCGACCTAATATTTTCTCCTTTAATAGATATGTAAATGTATACATGCATATGTAAGTATGTGATGTTGTGTATGTATATATAAACTTCTCATGTGGATTTTAAATTGAATTTTAGTAATTTTTAGCATTTACTTATTACATTTTTTATGTAACTAATCTAACAACTAAAATTCTATATTGACAATAAATAGGAAGTTTAATTCAACCTCAAATTGAATTAATTTGGAGAAGCGAAGCCCTATTTTAACCTTATGGTACAATCAAAGTTTTTATTTTCAATGAAATATTGAAGAAAATCTTTAAGAAATAGTAAATGTTGAAGCCAAATAAGTCCCGCATGTTATGTTCAAGGGATAGAGCGTTGGAGACCAAGGAAAGGAGATTGAGCGAGGGACAGACAGAGAGAGAGAGAGAGAGGAGGAGAAGTGGAAGACTTGCCCTCTCGAGGTGAATCCGGGTGTTCTCGGGCTCGTGAACTCATTTTATTCCATAAAAAAACAGGAGTAACAAGCAGGAATCCAAAAATTCCTTTACATAAAAGTGCCCTCTTATTTCTAGATGATAGGAGGGTCAAAAAATAAATTACAATATTACCCTTATTTTAAAATGGTAGAATATAATATTTTATTTTTTCTGTTCGTGTGTTATGCTGAGTACCCCGTCGACCGTAGATATGACATTTTAGAGTTTTTGTCGGGAAGAGAAGTTGGGTTCTGATGGCCAGTTGGAGGGAAAAGTCCTCCGTCGGGTTCCTCCGTTGGGGGCAAAAGTCCTCTCGCGGAGGAAAAGTCAACTTATGGTAGCCAATTCAACGGAAGTAGACTGCAAATTGCCTCTAGATCTGTGCAGACCATTCTTGAGCATCACATTATAAACTGAAAATTATTTGACTTCATCCATATTGACCGGGCAGTGTCTGAATTATTCCAGGTAGTCTTCTTACCATGATTTCTCAAAAAAGAGATGCATTTTTTGAAACTTCCATCTTCGCGCATGATTCATAAGGTTTTTTACAACACCACCCAATTCAAACCAAAAAAGAATGATTAAATAGATAATATTGATATTAAATGCTTGGCCCCATATCTCTGGCTCTTTCTAAGCTGTTCTATTGCTTGTCCATCCTGAACACTAATGCTTAGTCTTCCATACATTTTCCAATTAAAAAATTAAATATATAAGTATATCAGGCCATTGTGCTTTCCTTCAAATTGCAATTTGCTATTCATCAGTTACAATATGGACATGGAGGTGTGATGCTTCTAAACTCTACTTTATGTGCTTCATATTTTTATCATGGTTTAGATAAAGTTCATTACTTCAACAATCTAACCTCATTATTCCAGGTAGCAGAAGCTCAAAAAAGTCAAATTTATTCTGCAAAAATTGATATTCCCCCTCAAAGTCTTCCCTTGAAACCAGATGAATCTCTCAATCGATCCAAGTCTTTCACAGCCTACCTTCCCACCCAAGATGTATACCAATCCCGGAAGGTTGTGTTCGACGATAAAGCCATGACAGATGCAGGTACTAACGGCCATGAAAACATTCAGCAGAATGGCAACTGGAAGAAGATGAAACCAAACTTCTCCCAACGCCTGTATTTGAGTAACTCTTCCGTAAAAGGATTTTCAAAGTTGCCACGACATCATAGTTACAATGTAAAACGCTATGATACTTTCAAGACATGGTCAGGAAAATTAGAGAGGCGGTTTTCAAATCTTCATGGGAAGCCGATCGAGCCAGATGATGCCAATAATTTGAATGACACAGAACCTGAATCCTTGCCTGCATTAGACCGTTATCTGGATGCCTTGGAAGGACCAGAATTGGACACTCTGAAAGTAAGTGATTGCCTATTGTTCAGCAATATGTTCATCATGTCTAGTTGTTTACATGTAGATGTAACATAACATGAATAATTTGTTTCCTGTAATATTCAGGCATCAGAGGAGCTTGTTCTTCCTGAAGATGTAACTTGGCCTTTTCTACTTCGATTTCCAATATCCTCTTTTGGTATGTGCCTTGGTGCAGGAAGCCAAGCCATGCTATGGAAAACTTTGGCTTTATCTCCCTCAATGAGCTTCATGAATATAAGCCTAACCATCAATATTGTCCTGTGGTGCATCGCAATTGGTGTATTTAGCTTGGTGGCCACAATATATCTTCTTAAGATCATATTTTACTTTGAAGCAGTGAGAAGAGAGTACTACCATCCTGTGAGAATCAACTTCTTTTTTTCTCCTTGGATAGCTTGTCTCTTTCTGGCAATAGCTTTGCCTCCACGTGTTGCAGAAAGTATACCTGATAACTTATGGTATGTGCTCATGGCGCCAATACTCTGCCTTAATATGAAGATCTATGGCCAATGGATGCTGGGAGGAGAACGAAGGCTTTCGAAGGTGGCTAATCCTTCAAATCATTTGGCTGTGGTTGGGAACTTTGTTGGTGCATTGTTAGGGGCAAATATAGGACTTAAAGAAGGGCCTATATTTTTTTTTGCAGTTGGTTTGGCACATTACACTGTTCTATTTGTCACTTTGTATCAGAGGCTTCCAACAAATGACACTCTGCCGAAGGAGCTTCATCCAGTTTTCTTTTTATTTATAGCTGCACCTAGCGTTGCTTGCACTGCATTGGCTAAGATTTCTGGTGAATTTGGCATTGGTGCAAGAATTCCTTACTTCGTTGCCATGTTCCTTTATTCTTCTCTTGTAAGTTCCGCTATCTATGAAATCAATTCGGTTAACATAGAGTAACTTTTTTTTACTTAAAAAACAGACTTTATTGTGATCTAGTATATAAATTTAACTACTTTATGTATTTTGTAGTCTATAAGTGAATTAATCAAACAATTAAGACATATCTAAATTTGTAGTTAAGGGGAAATATTTCCATACAGAATACGCACGCAGAGCTGCATGCGTAATAACCCCTCAATAAGCTTCGTTTCGCGGTTATTAGGGGGTTATTGGGAGGTTATTAAGGTATTAATTTCAATAGCATATAACCTTAATAACCTTCCAATAACCTTCGCGGATTCAATTTCGATGTTATTCATAGGTTATTATGGGGGTATTGCGGGGTTAATGTAGTACGCATGCAGAGCTGCGTGCGCATTCCGTATGTAAATTTTTCCCGTAGTTAAAAAAATCATCAACAGCCTTCAGTCTAATACTTTTTATCATTTCTCTTTGCATTTGCAGGTTCTTCGGGTTAGTTTCTTTAGAGGATTCAGGTAGCTTTCAAATAAAATTTTCAAAAAGAAAATATGTAAAATTTTGAATTGTTTTAGCTAAACTTACAGTCAATCTGATAGGTTCTCACTAGCATGGTGGGCTTACACATTTCCGATGGCCGGAGCAGCAATTGCAACGATCAGATATGCAGATCATGTCAATAATTATAGTTCAAGAATTCTTGCTCTTTCCTTTCTACATTCACAGTATTAGCTCTTCTGATCAAAACAATCCTCAATGCCTTTGTGTTCAGAAGGCTCTTCCCCAATGATATTGCCATTGCAATATCTCATAAAAAATCCAAGTCAAAATATAAACGACTACATTTCCCTTCAACAGACCGTGTAACTTCTAAATCTCCAGTTTAATAAGTACAATAATCATTTGTGGGGTGCTACAATGTCATTCTGATATTTTCTGCACTAGCTCAAAACAAACTTGTCTATGTTCAGAAACTATATTTATACATATAGATAGATAGATAGATATAAATGAGATGTATGAGATTAGTACGAATCATGTATTTTTGTACTTGAGATAAAGATATTGAGGACTGTGGTTGGAAACATTTTAGTTTTCTCACCAATTTCTAATAGTATATGGATGATGAATTTACAGGATCTTAGCCATTTAATTCACTTTGGATGGCAAGGATTTTTTTTCAAGACCGAACTAACTTTCAATAAATAAATAGAATAAATCTCAATCATCCCAAGTATATTTGATGGCTAAGACTATTTAAATCTACTCTCCAACTATAAACCCCAATTTCTTTAGAGTTGAAGAGAACTAAAATCCAATTGAGAACAAGTCCAATGGTGATGCAGTGGAAGGATTGATAAAAACTATAAATTCTATAGATATTTGAGGGTTTGTAAGAAGAGACAACATATAGAGTACAGCAATAGAATGGATAGTGTCTTTTAATAACTTATTATTCCTTTACATGGTCTATTTGGAGCAGCTGCATCTTATTAAGCTTTTTAAAAAACTGTTGCACAACAATTGTGGTAAGAAGTTGTTGCGGCTAAGCTGCGTGTATGATGTTTTGTGCAGTTAAACAACAGTTGTTTAAGATAAAAAGACAATTATACCCAAGTACTATTGTTTTGTTTTGAGTGGGGTGTGTGTGTGTGTGTTTGTATGTATATTCCATTTTTCCTTAATTTCAAACATAATGAATCAAAAAAAAAAAAATTCAGGATTTTTTACAGACTAAAAATCAAAGCAGAATCTGAGCAGGATGTATGTCTTTCCAAATCTTGTGGATTCTGAAACCAATCATGAAGTTTAACCTGGTTCCAAGTAACTTTGATCCCTTCGTATTCGTCAAATGCCATATATCTAATGAAACCAAATCATTCCGAAAAGAAAATCAAAATCAAAGACCAAAATGTATTTTTTTCCCTTTTGGGCGACGAGGATTGGGGATCTTACACAGTTTCTGAAGCTCTCTTGTCGAGAATTTCGCTGTACTGCGAGAAACCAGATAAGAAAAAGTGAGGAAAGGGAGATGGAAGGAGAAAGGAGACAGCTTTAGGAAGAAGGAGCCACAAAGCCTTCTATATCTTCCGTTGGGATCAAACTCCACAAAATGTAGGTAATCTTCTTCCTGAGGATTCACGCTCGTCATTCTAATCTTCTTCAACCGAGTTCTCTTGCTAGCTAATGGCGCTCTTCCTCACCTCATGGGATCAGAGCCTCGTACACTTGTTGGGATCTATGGGAAAGAAGAAGATGGGAAAAAACTTTGCCCAAACGCATTGTTATCTCTGATAAGAGTTGAACACAAAAGGCAAGAACAATGTGGGAACTCAAACAAAATCGAACTTTGGTATCATAACTTGGTAGATCGAGAACAAGAAATTACTCAGGCTTTAGCCAAAAAAATAAACAAGTTTGACTTTTGAATTATAATAAATATAATGGTGACTCATAAGGACATCTAGTTTACAAACCTAGGGGAAGTTTAAATTGTATGATTTTAACTAACAAGCATACTTCATTTGGAATTTTACCTACTTGATGGATGCAAGCAAAATAAGTGCATCTTGTTGAGTAAATTTATTAAGACACATTTGAAGAATTTTATCTCAAAATGCTACATTTAGAAAAGAAATTTAAATCTTCTTTATTTATCACTTTGTAGATTGTGGCATCTTAACCACATTTAAGAATTTTATCTCAAAATGCTACATTTAGAAAAGAAATTTAAATCTTCTTTATTTATCACTTTGTAGACTGTGGCATCTTAACCACATTTATTAAAATTGATAATAAAGCATGCAAAAGAAAAAGTTTTTCTTATGAAATTACCTCTTGGAAGTAACCAATGACTTGAAACAGAGAGAAGCACCTCAATGTTTGTTATAAAGATGGTATGGAGTCCTATAAACTGATGTCAAATTTGTCATATAGATATGAGAATATATTTTTATGTTAAGAATCTAGTTTTAGAAAAGTCTAGTAAACATCTTTATATTTTGATCAACATTTATTTCATATGTTAAGTAAATCAGATCCTTTTTCATTGTCACAGACATAGATTTGATCTCAATAAAATCTTATAAATTTTTGGGTTTTATATGTGATCGATCCTTTTAAAATTTTTGTGGCTTATCATTTTTTTTTTGGTAATTGATGCTTTGACAATTATCTTAGACAACATGTTTTGTTATTTTGATTCAATCATATTTTATTACACATATATCTAATTATGAAATCACAATAATTTGGATTCTACCTAAACAAAAGCACGGTAGATGGATGCATTGGGATAAGAATAAGATGTAATTAATCATAAAAATTTGTATATTTAAGGATTTGTGAATTTTAACAAATAACCATATACCTCTGTAACATATACGCTTTTATGACTATCTTGACCTATATGAAAAAGTGGAAACTCTACAAAACATGTGGATTTTAACATCCCCGAAAAACCTACACTTTGAATTAACTAGAGTTTTAACCATATAAATAGTGCTAAGACTACAATCTTATACACGTCAATTCTTCTATATAACACACTCAGTGCAAGATTTATAACAAAAAATAATGACTTATCATAATGCATAGCCAAATTAAATAAATAAATTAGTTCCAACTATATAATATGCATGTAACTTAGAATTATAGATTTATCATTATAATTTATATAAGCTACATTTGCATGCATTTTCCAATAGCTAGTAATTGTCCCCAATGAAGGGCTCCCTTTTGCATTGTCATTTTCTTGATAAATACTTACAAACATGCCACAAATTTGCATGGATAAACCCTGTTAATTGTAGTACTAGTTTTCAATGCTTCTTCTGAGTTGATAGTGACTAAGGAGAATTTTTCTCTGGTTGTTAACAATAATATGGGGATCTTATAGGCTTTGAGGGTTCAAATAATATGAGTCGCGGGAGTATGATTTTCATCTCCTCTAAAAAACTGCGAAATTTGGTAATGATTTCTTTTTTAGGATTCGAGAAGCCTTTCAAGTTTAACAATTTGAAACATTTTAAACTGGACTTACAGTTTACTAAACTAGTACTTCAACAATTAAAAAATTTATTAGTTTTCTCGTGGGATCGACACATGAACTCAAAATCCATATATTACTTGAGCAACACATATACTTACGTGATTGCAGACTACTTCATAATACTTTCGAGTGTCATGTTCTAAGCGTCATTATTTGGGAATTGAAGTCAAATTTTTAATTCAGGAAAATTATAGTTGAACCACTTAGTGTTCATTTTTAATTTTTTTTTCTATTTCAATATGTCTTTACCTTTAATTTATTTGTGTTGTTATCTATTGTTGAATAAATCTAAGAATTTAAGAAATATTACATCTTTTTATTTTGTTGTGTTGTATATTAATTGTTTTGTGTGTTTTAAATTCTTGTTATGCGTTTTTGCCTAAGGTTAGGGCCACTTGATTGAAAGTTTGTAGTTGCAAGCATAGGATTGGATGATTTGTTTGCGTCATTTGACCCCAAAATAAAAAAAAAAGCATAAAAGTTTCAGAAAATAAAAAAATATAAAAAAGAAATAATTGGAAATGACAGGAGCATGCTAATCTATTTGTAGAGAAAACTTACATGAATATCTATCACCCTATCAAAGAAGCCAAGACTATTGAATTAACTCCTTTCATCATTCAAATGATTTAAAGCAATCAGTTTGGGGACCGCCCACTGAAGACCTAAACCATCACTTAGCTAGTTTCTTAGAACTACGTGTCATGTTCAAGTATAACAGCGTCTCTAATAATTTTGGAAGACTAAGGCTATTGCCTTTATCTCTTAAGGATAAATCTAAGATGTGGTTAAACTCTTCAACACCATGATCGATCATTACTTGGAATGACTTGACCCAAAAATTATTTACTAAATATTTCACTCCATCCAAAACAGGAATGGTATCACTTCCTTTACCCAGTTAAATGGAGAGTCCATTAATGAAGCTTGGGAGAGATTCGCATAATTACTTAAAAAATACTCACACCATGTTCTACTTGACTAGTTAATCATTAAAACATTTTTATAACGGGTTGGTGGGATCTTTAAGAACTATTATAAGTGTTGCAGTTGGGAGACCTTATATCCAAAAAAAATTGAGAAGGTCTACTCATTGATTGAGAAAATGGGAATGAACAAATTCTAATGAACATTTGAGCAAGTCACCCATAAGAAGGTAGTTAGTGTGCATGATGCTATGCCTTAAAGCATGCTTATTTTTCTTTAAATTTTGCACATATTTATGAATGAAATTGTACTTTAAGGAAAGATAATTTTTTGTTTTTTTTTTTTTGCAGGTATAACAAGTAGGACATAAGGAGCAAAGCAGAATTGAAATGGAGTGAAATTGAGGCGAAATAGAGCATTTGAAAACTAGTAGTATGGCGCCTAGGCTCCAAGGTGCTCCATCCAAGCGCCTTGGCGCCGGCTTACTGGGTGCCTAGGCTCCAGTTCCCAATCTGGCAAGCCGAGAGGTTGGCGCCTAGGCGCCAGCTCTGTGGCACCAAAGCGTTGGCCAATTTCTAGAAAGTTCTAGTAGTTTCTTCAGCAAGACCTCAGAAGTTATCAAGTCGATTTATGCAGTTTGAGTGGAGTTTCTTGGCACTTTTAAAGCTTTGAGGAAGTGAAGGAAGGAAGAGAAGTCGTAGGAAGATTTAAGTTTTGGTATTTTCCAGTTTTCTTAAGATATTGGTAAGGGGTTTTAAGAGAAATCTGTAAGGGGTTCAGTTCAACAATGTAGGGAGCACTTGGGTACATTATTTGAAGTATTTTCATCTATTGTCAGAGGAGAAAAGCTAAATTTTTTGTTACTATTTTTCTTGTATTTGTTGTAAACTTATATTTAGTTGATTTGCTTTGTTAAATGATGAGGATTTCTATGGTGTTCTTCATGTTTTGTGAGTAGATTTTTTTTACTTGTCTCCTGTGAGGAAGAGGTAGGATTTGTAGGATGTGTAGAATACTTATAAAATTGATCATTAATCCTTAATGTGATGATCTTTCCTTTTGTGCTTCTTTTATTTATCATTCTAGCCAAATGATTTATTAAAATTTATTATGAACCCATAAGGTTTGGAAGACCTATGGCATGAAAAACTAGGAAGATCACATTGAACTGGTGGGTGAAGGAAAAGTAGTTCATAGAGCAATGAAAATAGATAATGTGACAAGTTTTGATGGGTATAACTTAGGGGTTTCTCGGCAGGAGCATTTACTAAGTTAAACCAAAATTCTTTATGCACTCTAAAGAAGATAAACAAGATATATGCTCCTATTTATCACTAGCCATAATATCAATTCGTTGTATTCGAGCCTACAATCTACTCATGCAATCACAATAGATAGGTAGCTTTTATACCTTGATATTCATCGAACCAGCTGATATAGTTAGGTTTAGCTTTAGACTTAGTGTTGTTATTTAGAAGTAAGTGTTAGTAAAATCACCTTAATCATCATTCCAAACTAAGACCTATTAATAGTAGACTAGAAATTTTCTTAAAGGAGTTATTACCTTAATTTCTTTGTGGGTTTGTCAATCTGGGCTTAATAGAGCCCTATAGTACTGAAATGATGTGTATAATTGCGTGAGAAATCCCAGCATGAAGGAGTATCTAATTTTAAGAATTCAATCAAATTATTAGGGAGCATATCAAGTTTTTGGAGCCAGCACCAGAACTTACATAATTATGATAATCGTTGGGCGGATCAAGTTTCTGGAGTTGTTCCGGGGAACATTGATGGTAACAACTTTAGGAGAACTTTAGTTGAATCAAATAAACTTATATTTGGAAAATTGTAGCATAGTTTTATTTTTTAAGTGTTCGTCTGTGTGTTTTAAAAAATAAAAATAAGGTTATTTTTGACTATTTATGTTAAATTTATTAGTAGAATCTTTAGTTTTGTATGTGTAGTGTAGGAACTGCATGACTTGTACCCTACAATTCAAAATAAGAGAGAGCTATTAAGAAAATTAGAAAACATAAAAAGACTTTACGAACTTGTAAAAGAAATGATGAATATTCAACCAAACAATTTAGATAACCAAATATCAGTTAATGAACATCCTAACATGCAGAGACCATTATGGGATTACACTAATCCTACGACAGATGAAATTAACTTAAGTATTCAAACTTCTACCATAGACACTAATACATTTGAATTGAAATTTACTATTTTCCAAATGGTGCAGAACAATCAGTTTGGGGGAACCCCGTCTAAATCCAAATTTATATTTAACAAGTTTTCTAGAACTTTGTACTACATTTTGTTATAGTGGTGTGTCAAATGATTCTGTTAGACTTAGGCTTTTTCCCT